AGGTTATGTTAGATTTGATCTCCTGCTAACCACAAGGAATTCTTGTAGCTCAATTGGCAGAACAGCAAAGGGATTTGTTTTCATGCCTCATTTGGAACTTAATTTTTCTTTTTATCTGATTCACATGGTTTAATCACAACCATCGACTGACTGTCAGAACAGTTGCAATGAAAAACAAAGGCAAGTGATTTCAAGGCTTGCCAAAATTTGATTATTATGTAAGGCTCATATAAACATTGCACTATATTAGATGGAGCATAAACTACAGTATGTTTGAAGTTATTATGCAAATCACGTAAACATCAATAACTCAAATTTGCTTTGAAAAACTTTTGTCAAATTTTAAATGATTAATTTAGATGTCAAAACAAAGATTGGGTTCAGTTTTAGACAATACCATATGTTTTATTAGTGTTATTGCATTTATTATAAAAACTGCAGTCTGAAGTTATTATGCAAAACCAATAAAATAATTGACAACTGATCAACACCTATAGGAGAACAAATAACCATCATATATAAGTTTTTGAAGCATTTACATCTTAATATAGTCACCCTTCTTCTCAATAACAGAAAGCTATTATCCATTGATTTTGTTAATTTGTTTTATTTCAGCAGGTTCAATTTCTGACATGATGTTTTTAATTGCTTTCCATAGACCTGCTTTTCTGTCATATTATTTGCCACCTTCATATAATTTTGTCTTCACAACTGACCATAAATTTTTGGGACTTGATCGTGGCCATTCCATTATCTTATCTCCTGTAAAACTTTTTATCCTAAATAAATTCATAGGAAACTTTAGCTACATGAGAAGGAGAATTGTCATGCATAAATACACACTTCCCTTTGAAACTGTGAGGCTGGGACTTACATCATTCAAAGAAAGTCTTGTCACAATAGTTAGCACTATTCAATTTAACTCCTTCAACTTTGAATGCTCCAATAATGGTTTTGTCAACATTTCCAATACATATCATCACACTGCTGTTCCTGTGGTGCCTCAAATAAGATCCATTCTTTGATCTGTCCATAAGATCCATCTAGTGTCACCCAAGATTTATCCATGAAAATTACTTTAGCAAAGTCAATTTTCATGTATTTCTCAGCCCATTGTTGACACTTTCAAATATTTGCTTTACTGAGAGGTGTTTGCCTAGGGATTTCTTGACAGATCCCAATTTTCAAAGTATTCTACACCTTTTGTCCTTCTTCACTCCCTCAATTCCAACCTGTCCAAAGATCTGGGCACTGGTCAAAAGTGGTTGTTTTGCTATAACTCCAGTCTACGTTCCCCTCGAGGAGGCAAGTTCTTAAAGTGTTTTCTTTTACTTCTAGTTTTCAACTTAGTTATATTTCCAACAGCCTTCTTTACTGTTTGGTGATCTTCATGAAGCTCCTTTGATATCTCCAATGTGGACATTCCCTCACTAAATAACTTTGTTATTTTCTGTATTTCAACATTTATATTACCCATGATTCAATATATACTATGATTATGGAAAAAAAGAAAAAAAAATTTTTATTAGATTTCAGAGGCCTTAAACTGATATTAGTTTAATCTGCTTAATAAATTTGGTCGGAACATTTTCATAAATTCTGAATATCTCTAAATATAACCATTAAAAGAAACAAAAAATTTAGTTAGGGATTTTACCAAGGGTGAAAATGGACTATTTTAAATTTAAGAAATATTTGTCCTGGACTTTTTGAATTATTGTAGTTTATGTAATTTATAGGCTGTAGAATAATTTCTCTAAGTGATTAACTTTTACAGGTTCAACTCTTGTTAATGACCACCACTTATTCAACTTCACAATGAAATTGTCTTGAAATTACTTGGTTGAGGTAAAATACTCTTCTTCCTCTCAAATCCTGAAGTCAAAAACATTAATCTGTGCTTAAAATAAGAGCAACAATATAAGAGAACACTCTACAGCAGCTGCTTCAATGTCAATTTTTTTGATATACATATAGATAAGTGAATTTGTTGCATATATTACTCAAGAATTTTTAAAATTGTGAAATGAGATACTGAAGGTAGATCTTTTGGTTTTTTTGAAGAAGAATTTGAAAGCTAACCAAATTACCTGCTTTTTTTTTTTTTAAATCTATGCTAGAAGCAATTGACTTATGAAAACAGAAATCATTCACACTTAATTTTTTTATTGAATCAGTCTCACTCCATGCAAGACAGTAAAGCCACCATGTCACAAGGAGTTACAGTGTGTAGAAGAATTAGGAACAAAAACATTAATAATGAGTGGCAAGAGGAAAGAGTAATCAGGAAGACAGTAGATAGTGACTGATATTGCATTTAAATTTTTGAGGATTAAAGTTGGCTTGAAGGGAGTTCCATAAGCAAGTAGTGTGAGAAAATAAAATGTTAGCATAGAACTTACGGCTACATCTATCCAGCTCAACTGTAAATTGATGAGATCTCAATGCCAGTCTAGTACTGTGCTTAAATTCAAAAAGTCTAGGTGCCATAGCAAAGAGCTAATCTGAACAATTACCATGAAAGTATTTAGGCACAGAGAGGCAACCTTACAGCAGTGGGCAAGTGACTGAAGCTGAGCTACCAGATCAGGACCAATAATATTGCTGATTCATCAGCAATATTATTAACCTTGAAATCAGTTTGAAAAAAATTAAACTGTTTAAAATAAAATTGGTTTCCCTTTAGAAACTTGTTCCATTTTCATGATTAAGATATATTAATTGATATTTTTGATTTCAAGTAAGATTGTCTTCCTTATTTTAGAAAAAATGTTTGGTTCACTTGGTCTTTGAAATATTTTTTACTACTTGTGACATGATAGTTGTTAAGTTGCAACTCTTTTGTTTTTAATTATTGAGAAGTACTAAGTTTTGTAAGTTTTCATTACAATTTTAATAAGGAAAAGAAGTTTGTAGGAAGAGTTAAAATTCTTGTAATGAAATACATAAAGCATTTTTTGCATAATATTTTCTGTAACAGAAAATGTGTAAGCTAAAAATGTACCTCTTGGTTCAGTTGCATGTTTGGATTTTGGAATGTAAAATATTTTAAAAATGTAAATCGGATCTAGTATCAAAATCAAATGACTAATCATGATAAAGATGGATTTATTTTCCAACTTAATTCCGGATTGATATTTTTAACAATGATCACCTGTTATTTTAGTTATTTGTATCCAGTTTTTTTTTTTTTTTCTGGTTTTATTTCCCTTGCATTTACTTTTAAAAATAAAAACAAAAGCATCCATCCATACATCCATTTAACAATACATCCATCCACCCATCTTTCCAGCAATCTATCTATCTGACCATCCACCCACCCATCCATAAACCGACCTGTCCATCAATCTATCTATCCGACCATGCACCCATCCATCCATCCACCCACTGGTCCATCAATTCATCTGACACATCCACCCACCCATCCATCCACACACCTGTCCATCAATTCATCTATTTGACCATCCACACACCTACCAATCCATCCATCCATCCATCCATCCATCCATCCATCCATCCATCCATCCATCTGCCCCTACACCCATTTAACCAAACAAGTATTCAATGAATGAAAGGAAAAATGAGCTAACCAACCAACCAGAGACAATTCATGAAATGAGAATAATAATAATAATAATAATAATAATAATAATGTGCACAATGCAGTCCTATAGTTCTGTTCTATTCTCAGGTTTTCATTCTTCACAAAATTTAAAGGATGTTTTAATTTTGTTTCGAGTCATGTTGCTCATTTTCATAACAGAAATAGAGTGAGTCATTTTTATGTATTCAGCCCCCTCTGCACTGTTTCAAAATCTGTTTCTCTTTTTGAGGATATATTTATCCATTAGGTAGATGGACAGATATATTAAGTCACATACTTTCCAAAACATATCTGAATGCCTCGGGTGACAAATCTCAATATGTAATATTTGTAACAATACACAACAGCCACCAACCTGGTGATAATATAGACATTATGAACGGTTCAGTCCTGCCCTCCTTCTGTTCATTAGTAAAGATCCATGCAGATGATAACGCAATCTATGGAAGCACTAAGAATAAGATATTTGGAATGTTGTAGTTGATCTCTTCTCTTACCTAACTCTAACAGCTCAATGGGGGAAAAACTGGTTTGTAACTTTCAATACCTGAAAAAAACAAAGCTAGTATAGTTTCATCATCATCAATCAGATCCTAGGTTTCATCTAGTCATCATGAATGGTTGCACTCTCAACAAGGCTTGATGCTTTGAATGTCAATTGGAATTCAAGTTTGTTCCAGACCTCAAATGGAACTTATATATATTGTCCAAAGCCTAAAGATGATGAAAACATTGCCAATACACTCTAATGCTTCAGAAAGTATGCAACTCCTTCTGCTATGCATTATCTTTATAATAGAGTTCAAAATCATTTATGTAGTGTTGGAGTTGACTTATTTTTCCACTCGGCAGCCTCTTTCCCCACAGACACAAAATCACAAGTCACTGTTGCTATTTCTATGGCAAATATTCAAATGAGCTCCGTTCATTAGTTCCACCAGTCCAACCATGCTATAAAACTAGGACAAACCATGATACATCCACAGAGTCAAATCACCTTCATTCTCTCTGTATACCAATTGTAAGGAGAATGTTTCACTCAGCTTTTTCTCAAGAACTGCTAGTTTGTGGAACAGACTCCCATGTGGATGTTTCCTTGATCACTGCAATCTTAACGTCTTTAAATCAAGGGTCAACCTTTATATATCCTCATAATCTTCACTTCCTACTTCTTTCTCTTACATTCATATCATGCATCTCCTTCAGTAGCCTTCTACCTTGAGTGGCTCTTGAGCCTTGTAATGGGTGAACTTTAGTAAAAAAAGAGAAAAGAAAATGATGAACAGTTGCATTAAACCTAACTACAACAATCCCATTACTTGAAAAGATTTCAGAATAAACACATTCATATGTTTGATATTTTGTTTATGCAAGTGTTTCTTCTTCTGCATTTCAGTTTCCAGTAAACGAGGCAGTGCAGAAGCAGAATCAATATCTAGCCCGAGAAGTAGTTTTGCTCAAGCAGACGGCTCTCCTCCTCAGGCTCGAGCTGGAACAGTCGTCACCTCTTCACGCCAATCAAAACGACGGTAAGTGGTATGATTCAGAGTCATCAATTTATATCCCTGATTTCTAAACTGGGTCACCTTTACCAACTGCTAACTATTATTCCCCAGATATTTCAAAGTGACACATGTCTTTTCCAGATCAAATCAGCTTTTAATTAAATGAATTATTTAGAAAACTTTAAGGATTTGTTAACAGTATTGGATGTTCATCAAGAAAATGGACACTTCATTGCTAGCATTTCATGGCCTTAATTTGTATATCACTAATATTTTAAAGATGACTAGTTGTTATTAGAAAATGTTTCAAGGCTAAAATAGGCTTTTCTTATAAAGTTAATTCATTATATATTATTATCACACTTATTTGAAAGTTATTATGAAGATAAGTTTTCAAATTATTATCTCATTTTAAAAATAACTCATCTTTTCCTTGGAGATACTCATTTATAGCCATATCATGTGAAACACCAGTTCTCATCCAATTACCAAAGTTAAGCAATGTTGAGCCTGTTCAATGCCTAGATAGGTGAGCACTTGGGAATACCAGGTGCTGTAAGCTTGGATGTGTAGGTAGTGTAATAGCTTGGAATGAGAAATCGGAGAGCAAAGTTCCAATTTTAGTCAATCCTTGGAGATTCTACTGATAATGACTATTGCCTATCCTACTACAGATCTCATAAATATCACAAAATAATTTAAATAAAATCACTATGGGCACTTTGCAGAGTAATAGAAAGTGCACTGATTTCTGAGTCTTCCACTATAAATTTACATCCAGGTTCTTAAAACATTTCACTTTTCTTAACAAATCTTCTGTTGTCACAGTGTGGGGCATATTAAAAACAACAGCTCTAAAAAAATGAGTTGTTACATCTAGACACATGTGGTGTCAGAAATTTCAAACTTTTGAATTTAGTGTCCGTACGTCTTCCTATTGCACATAATTAGAAATGACATTTTTTGTCATCTATATTTCACCTTCCCCCTTGCATGTATATAATTCCATCAATGAGGACATTATTTTAGTCTGATGAAGGATTTTTTCATTTTGTCATTCAGTTACACACCAGTTATTTTTATAAACATGAAATAATATTTTTTATTTAAATGTTCAATGTGTTTATACTTTTTACTTACAAGTTAATGTTTAATCAAATGACATTCAATATTAGTAGGCAGCTGAGATAAAGGTAGCACAGTGGTCAAAATTCAGTCCTTTAGTAGTAAAACTGGAGTGACCTCTCCAGGGAGCAGGCCTGGGTGATTGTATATGGCTACATGGCCCCCATCAGCCATATTGGCAAGATCAAAAGGAATACAGAGCATTACATTTGGGCTCAGCTTGGCTACAGGAGTTACCGGAATGTTGTCAGTGTTAGCAGTCAACCACCTTCAGTACTCCACTCCAAGTTTTCTATCTGGATTTACTTTCAAAACCTTTTCCATATTTAGATATGGACAGTTGAAGTTTAAAATCAGAGTTTTTAACTTCTCCTAGATGGACTGCCTTCTTGGGCTGTAGAGATCCATCTACCCAAAGGTATACATATATATTACTAATTATTACTTGATATACATGGAATTAACTCTTTTTTTATATCCCTACTTTAAAGCCAGTATTTGTTTACTTGTTACATATTATTAACAAATTGCAACTGCTATTAAGGAGATGTGATTAAATATACTTTAATGTTTAAAAAAAATTATTCAGTATTATTATTGTCAAGGTAATAAATATTATAACACAGCACAAATAGCTGTATTGTGGAGAAAGGAATTCTCAACAATATACAAATTTTTTACGCATTTATGGTTATTTTTTAACTTTTATCAAAAATGACATTCTTATACATGGAGTTATGGATAATATTATGTATTAATTACTATTTTTTTAATTAATAACTATTTGGGATCAGATGTTAACATTAATAGCTATCTATTGATGTGTTAAAATTTTGGAATAATGCAATAATAAAAATTTAAATTTCATCTCTCTGATAGATGTCGTGATCTGTAAAACACCTCATCTACTTATATATGATTATTTCTGAAGTTGTCTTCTACACTTAGTTGTTGTGCATAACATAATGTATGGCATATGTTTTATCTCTTTACATTGTAGCTTATTGGTGCCAAGTGATTAGACCTGAGTTTGAATCTCATCATGGCTGATTTATCAAGGAAGTGTTTTCTTCATATTTATCAACTTGGAAAGACAATTCTAGTATGTGACAACAGTGGCAAGTGCCTGAAAAACCATGTCATGTGTTGACCTAAGCCATCTAAGTATAACTGGGCAGAAGTTTTCAATAGTCATGCTAGTATGAAATCACAAATCATTGTGACCAAGGGTTCAAGTGTACTGGCTTTATTAAACTACTGTCACCCAGAAACTGCAACTAAGGTTCACTGAGCTTAGTTGCAGTATAAACCACAGGTTGGTTCTGTGGATGTTGAAGAAACACATATGTGACTGAGCAGATGTCCACAACATGGATTTGCTAGCAGAGGAGCATTCTCAGAACTAAGCAGTCATCCATTACACATTCCATTGTTACTTGTTAAATACTTATTAGTCTGAAGAAAGCTTATTTCATAAACAGCTTTGGTGCAGAAGACAAACTCAGAAGAGTATTACTTGACCATCTTATGTTTATTTAACTCAGATTTTGGAGATATTTATGATTCTGATTTTGAATGTTTATTCTTTGCTTTGCTGTTGCAGGTCCAGTTCGTCTGCTGCCACTACGGCATTTGCTGCAGCCACTGCTGGATCGACAAATCCATCTGACCATCCAAAAGGGAGTCGTCAGTATCTTACTCCAGGTAAAATTGAATATAAGAAACCTACAAATAAAAATAATTTAGAAACCTAAAATAGCCCTACCTTACATTGCAAATGTTGAATATTTTTTTATGGTGGAAATTTAACTAATAGCAAAGAATCTTCTTGATTTTGTTTTGCTCATTATATTGTAATCACTATGTCTTAGAATTCCATTTATTTAGGTTTATAGAATGAAGAAAGTGATTTTAGAAGTTTTTTACATTATTCTCAATGAAAATTATCAGCAGTGATTAAAAAAATATCAATGCATTTTTAATCAGTACTGAGTGAATGCATAATTGTTCATCTCGTAAATCTTGTAATTAGTTATTTTTATATAAACAAGGCCGCCAAATGGTTATTAGAATTTGAACTAGTCTAATTTATATAATATGACTTGTTAAAATGATAAGGAAACAAATTTTGACTAAATAATACAATATCTCCAGCTTTTAGTAAGATGATTGTTCAAATAACAGTATTGCTAAAGATCCAGAAAAAATGGTCAGTTCCCTTTACCGCTCCAGCAAGTACCTGACATCTTGTCCTATCCTCTACTTTTATGAGAGCTAGATCAGGTCGAAAATGGAGTACTGCTGTCATATTTGGGCAGGAGCTGACCAGTCCTCACTTTCCAGTTATGATAGAGTCCAAAATAATCTCCATGTCCTTGTGGGTGACAAATTATTTTCCATTCTGCAACCCCTCTCTCATAGATAAGATGTAGCGATCCTTTTGCTGCTCTATTGCTATTTCCATAGAAAGTGCTCAGATTAATTACATTCCTTTGTTCCACCAGGTCTAATCATCATGCCTAAGACCTGCCATGCTACACACATTGTAGCAAACCACCTTCATCCACTCCCTATTCCATTGATAAGAAGTAAGTTCTACTCAAGCAACTTCTTTCCATGAACCACTGCTCTGTGGAACTGAACTCCAAGAGGAGATTTTCCCAATCAATACAATCTTAACATATTCAAGTCTAGGGTTAACTGTTATCTTCCCCATCTATCTGCATGACCTGTGGCTCTTACTCTGTAACCCTCTACTTCGAGTGGCTCATGGGCCTTGTACAAGGTGAACCCCATTGTAAAAAAAAAATGTTATTAAAAAAAATGACATGTCAACCAGCAAAAGCAACCCATGCCTGTTCATTATGGAACCACCAACAGTGTCTTGTTGATAACTATAGTTTCTAGTCTCAGGTTGGGTTGCACCACACCCAAACCCTACTATTAGCACAAAACAGCTAGAAAAATGACCATGCCACATTTTGCCAGTACTCCAGACTCCATATTCAAATTCTTGGAAACAAAACAGGTATACTGTAAAAAAAGGCTCTAAACATTCTAATGTTTACTGCCTTATCCATAAAATATTGATAATTTTGTAATTATTTATAAATTTTGTATATGAGAATTTAATAAAACATACAAGAAACTTTGAAATAATCTTTTGTTGAAGACTTGAAATTGATAAATGAAGATGGTGGTTTTTCTTGCATATTTCTAAATGTCATTTTATTTTAACTGAAAATTCAGTTGCAATGAGGAAAAATTAATAATTTAGAGTACTGTTGCTAATTTACAAATAATACAATTCAATAAAAATACTAAATATTAAACATATCATAGGGTATACTGCCCGTGGCAAAAATTATGGAATTTGTACACTTAGAGGATATTCACCTCGGATTTTTACTTAGCAGTAAATAAGCTAATCACAGATAAGCAATACATTTTTTATTCAATAAGTGAACATTCTGGTTTCATAAAATATACATTAAACAAACTAGATTAAATTATTTAAATTAATGGTATCATTTTTTTCAACCAGGTAGAGGAAAATATTATGGCATAACCCAATATTTATGAAAAAATTATAGAATGATCTATTATGGAATGTTATTGTTGTTTGTATTCCTGAAACAAATATCAGTAGAAGAAGTGTAAATATGCAAATGAGTCTACAGTTAACAGAGAGATTTTTGCAGACACCAACAAGCAGTTTGCCATACCTAATTGCAAGGAAAAAAAAAGAACTGTTAATTGAAACAATGAAAAGGATTGTAAAACAAAATCAAGATGGCAATCCACAGTGGAGTGTGGTGAAAGAGATTGTTTCTTTTCCCCAGCCAACTGTGTCTAAACAACATTATGGTACAAGATTAAGGAGAACGCCATGAGGCAACTGATAGTGACAATGCTGAAATAGGAGTTTACATATAGTTTGGATAAATGAAATTGAATAAATATGAGAGGTCCAAAAGGAATACTTTAAAGAGAACTAAGGTGTTATTGTCCTCGGTAGTCTAGGTTTTATTAATATTAAATAACGGAACACTTTCCTGACAAACCTGGCATACATGAGATCTGATATTTAGAGATGTTACTATTGCCTAATTTTTATATTCTTTCTTCCCTTCTTTTTTGTATTTTTTTGCAGGTGATTACAGAAATAAGAAACGTGAGTCGGTGCTAAGCGCTGCAGCCACAATGCGGGTGCTGAATGTCATGAAACATTGGGTATCGAAACATTTCCAGGTAAAAAAAAAAAAAACACTCAAATGCATTTAATTCATAAGGAAACTCTGTTATGTTTCTTTTGCTATTAATGAATACACATGAGAATAGTTCACAGATTTACAAATATTTTTAAACAGTATACATGATAAAAAAATCCTATTATGCATAACACATTCACTGTTGCATTGTTATAGATTTGTTACTTGGCTGGGCTGGCTCATTTTGGGAAAATAGGAAATTGCTATATATTGGGCATAAATGACTATAAAGATGCTGTTGAGGATTTTTTAGCACCCACCATTATGATTACTGCTACATTGTTATATCTTTGTTGCCTGACTGTGCTGGCCCGTTTTGGGAAAATAGGAAATTGCTATTTATTGGAAATAAATGACTATAAAGATGCTTTAGGGGATTTCTCATAGCCACCGCCGTTTTGTTTACTGCTACATTGTCATAGCAATGTTGCCTGGATGAGCTGGCTCATTTTGGAAAAAATAGGAAATTGCTATTTATTGGGAATAAGTGACTATAAAGATGCTGTTGAGGATTTTTCATTGGTTACCCACAATTTGGTTACAATTGGATACTCTTCAGTATAGACCAAGCTTAAATGACACCCCTAACTATGCAATATAATAAAAATATGGCATAAAGCAAGTTGTATCATAGTCTTTGATTTGCTTCAGGTTAAAGAGGTTACCATTTTGGTAAGTATGAGTATACTTGTCTCCATCATCTTTTCTTCTATCTTTTTTTTTTACCATGTGTTTTTGGTAGCTTTCACTTTCCAGAGAAAGATCATTTGTAGAGTAAAGGAACTTGCTTCTTCTTTTCTATTTTGCAGGATTTTGAATCAGATGCTCAATTGAAAGCATTTTTGATAGACTTACTAGAAGAAATGGTTTGCAACACATCCTTACTTCCTGCAGAACACAAGGCTGCTGCTGGGATTCTACGTATAATTAATCAGGAGAGCCATGATCCAAACAAAGTAGATCTTGATATTTTATTGGCTCCTCCAGCTGTAAGTAGATTCACTGTTTTCATGATGACCTCTGCCACATAATATCTGTGACATTTGCTTACATATTTCTTATATTAAATGTAACAATCATTATGAGACTCAGATAGTTACTTTTTTTTACTAATCTTTTTTTTAGATTATTTCATGCAGATTTCATTTAGAAAAATATATTACTGCCTCTGTTCCATAATAGTTGCTTCATTTGAATACACATTTCATATACTAAATGTATCAATTATTATGGGACAGAGGTAGGATTTTTCTTTTTGACTCATCTTCATATTTTTTATGCCTAATTATCTCCATTTTGCAGCTAGAATGGGTGACGGATGTGACAATGTCTATCACCCTTGAGTTTGCAACACCCTGCCCCAAATAAGATATATTGCACAATGAGTCTCTCATATATATATATATATATATATATATATATATATATATATATATATATATATGTATATATATATTAATAATTTCACCCAAAGAAAGGCAATAAAGCCAAGATGCAAGGGGTTACTGAGTGTAAGAGAATATGAGAAAAAAAAACATTTCATTAAGGAGAGACAGCAATAAAAGAATGGAATTAAGAAATATATATATATATGACTGACTGTAAAATTAATAAGACAATTATTAGTCTGAAGAAATCCTTTCTGGGGAGAAAACTTGTTGCTCAGAGGCTTATTTTTTCAATTTGGTCATTCAATTATCAACATCACTTGCACAAAGGTGTGATTGCACAATGTTGAATATATTAATGTCTCTTCTCAGAATTATAGACACATTCACATTTATTTTTGGCAATTTTCTAATTGTCAATATGAGTTTTTCCTTGAAAATATCTTTTGCTGTATGCTATATTTTTTCTTGAGTTTAATTCCTGTAACTAATAATGGACTTTGACAATGCACAAATTCATGTGATAATTGAATGAGATTAGAAATAATATGTTAAATTCATATTATTAGATAATTTTTGAGCATTATATTAGAATATAAAAACCTGTCAATGTTGTTTTCTATTTTATACATTTCTTTTTATTATTGTGTGCATGTTTTTGAAAACTTTCTTTTTGCTGATAAAGCTCATTCAGTGGCATAATAATTTTGGTGGTTTCTTTACAGACATCTTCAAATGACACATTTGACACGTTATCAGCTCTTGATATTGCTGAACAATTGACCTACTTAGACCATAAAATTTTCATTGCTATCCGAAGTGAGTAAGTATCAAACCAATTTTGAATTATCCCTTATAGTCCTTTCCAGAATTTTAATCCCTTTTGACTTGTGGTTTCATTAATTTGAAATTTGTAACTGACTACATGAAATTTTCTTTATTATAATTTTTCCAAGAAACAAGAAAATTTAAAATATGGAAACAAAGAAAAAAGGGTGCTCAGCTACTATATACCATTAATCCTCTTTTATGAGAGTGAATACTGAAGAATTTCCTCACATTTTTTTGCTTTTTGTAATCATTTCACCTCAAGCAAGACAATAAAGTAAGATATTAAAGAACCTGAAACACATGGGAGTTACTGAGTGTGAAAGAATATGATAAAAAAAAAACACTATTAATGAGTGAGGAAAATAAAATCAAGATGAGAGAAAGTAACGATTGATATTGCACCCAAATTTCTGAAGGTCAAAGCTGAGTGGAAATCTAGAAACTGGAAGAGTGTTCCACAAGAGAAGAAACTGTTAGCATAGAACTTGTGGTTACATTTAGCCATTTCAACTATAAAATGATGAGACCTAGCTGCCAATTCAATATTACACTCAAATTCATAAATTCCAGGAAGCAAAGAGAAAAGCACATCAGACCATATATGAAGAAGAGACTTTGAGGAAACAGGGATGTGGTTCTACAGATGGATGCCAAGAATACCATGAATGGAGCATGCAAGCAACAAAAATGTTTTAAGGCAAAATCAAAACTGAAATGACAGTTATAGATAAAATTAGAGAGAGTCAGTTGGCATAAAAAGCATATGGTTGCAAAGGAAAGAACAAACAAGATTTCAAATTTTAACAGCATGTATTGACCAATTTTCCGAATATATACATAGTTGTGTGAAAGGATGACAAAATTTTTGATATGTGTTCCTTTAGTTGCCATTAGTAAGGGAAATGATTAAGTGTAAGGGTGTTGTTGGTAAGGCTGCATGGAGGTTGCAGGTTGGTTCACAGTGAACATGGTTGGTGTTAGGTAAATGGTTTATTGTAGGTGTACACATGAGTTGGGTATCATTGGTGAGGTTGATCTGTCTATCATCAGGGTTGAAATCAACACCGATGAAATGTGCTGTTTGACTGGTGGATGTTTGATGAGGTCAAGATGTTGAACTGAATTGCCTGTTGTTGGGTGAGACGTATATTTTTATATCTGTGTTATAACAGGTGCAGGGTCATACTTTTTTTTTTTGGTAGCAATATTCATGATTGGCTATTTTATTTAAAATTTTTGCCGTTTTTTTTTTTTTTTGCATTTTGTTTTCTTAGTGCTCACATGACTAGTGAAATGTATTTGTGAATCAGAGAGGGATCTTGATTAAACATAGTATAACACAATTGAAATTGCTGGGACATATATTGAGAAAAGAAATCTGAAAAAAATTGCTGCTCACAGGACATACTGAAGGCAAAAGTGACAGATAGGAAGTTGTGGAGAGCCATGATGTCCTGAAGGGACAATGCAAAAAGAGAAAGAAGAAGAATTTTTCTCTCTCAAAAGGATATAATCAACAGAACTTCATTATCCTTGGTAGACAGATTACAAGATGTCCTCCCTATTGAATGGTGAAGTCCATATATGATGATAGAAGAGATGAAACGCCCCCTATCACCAAGAAATATGTACATATGAATTATGAGGTTTGTCTTATGAGTTTTAATTTGCTCAGAAATATTCTTTGAGAAGAGGAATTTTGGTATGCTCTATTTAAGAAGTTTGTTATCACTACTATTTTATATCTTTCTGGGAATAGCCTATCATAATTTGTAAGACAAGAGTTTGCACTGGTGTTTTTTTTTTTATGTGGGTAAGTGGTAAGTACTTTGGGTTTTAAGTTCTAGATCAAGATCAAGGAATGAGATTTTGTTATTAACCATGAGTTTAAATGTAAATTTTAGCATTGATTTTTTTCAAAGGTAGATTTTATATATATATATATATGTATATACAGAGACTGTGATAGAGTTCTTTTTATACAGAAATAAATTTGTTCATTAGCATTGAAATCTCTAACCTTTTGGTCTTTCTTATATGAAGACATCAGATCAACAACAAATTGATTTTTAACAGAACACATATATAGCCTAAAACAAAAACTTTTTAGACTACTTTTTGTGACTATATCTTTATTTTGACCAATGTTTATTTGATTTCTTCCATTAAAATCATACAACTTTTCATCAGATTCACTCTCACAAATATTTAACTAAATCTCAATTATATTTTTTTTCCTTTTTATCAACAGAATTTTGATCTGATCCCCGACATTTCCAAATAGCTGTTTGTAAACTTTATTTATATAATTTTACATTTCCAGTAACACATTATTATTTTTTATTGTTGGAATGTTTCTCTGCTATTATTCATTTCTGTGTTTATTCATTATATAAGAAAAGCTAAGATCATACATATTTAGAATAGAAGGAGAGTACGTACATAAAAACTGGGGAGATTCAGGGTTTATGTTGAAGCAGTTAATCTTAATGACAAATATTTTTATTAATATTCAAATTGAATAATTCAATTCATCTTTCATTTCTTATTAATGTTTAGATTTTCGTAAATACAATCTTAGAATCAATTATTTAACCTGATGAATTTAAAAATTTTGCTGTATTAAAATAAGAGTGTTAAAGACAGGACATAATTTTACCAGTCGCGGAAGAATTCATCAGGAAATTTTAACAATAAGAACCATTTACTTTTTTTAATAGTGAGAAAATGACCGCAGATGTAACTTAACAAGCTTTATTCCACGTATAAGGGGAGATAATCCATACCACAGATACATAATTAAACATCTTGAATTGGAGTTCGAAGCATTTGCTTAATAATATTGTTTTTAAAAACAGAAATTGTCCTAAGTACTTGTCACTTTTTTTGCGGCAAAAGCAAAAGTTTTGCCTTTTTGTCGTTTTTAGTTCATCCATTTTTCTTTCCTTTATTTTGCTGAAATACATTCAAATTTTCTTGGTCTGTATCATGTCTGGAACAAATAACAATTATGACATTTTTTTTTTCACACACTCGCTTTTCTGCATCTTCCCCGTTTCTTAGGATGCATGATTGTCAATTACATTTTTTTTTTATCTGACAATTACTTTCATTCATAAAATTTCAGAGACTTAAAAAGTCACCGCGCCAACAAACTAGTGAAGTGTACCTAAACACATATGATTCTTTTTCTATTCTTTTCCAATTGCATATTGCGTCATGCAATAAATAAGTAAAAATAAACATTAAAAATGAAAATAAAGGATTTAAAAAAATCTGGTGGGTAATAAAAGGGAGATAATTTAGAATTGATTTTGATTAGTATTTACTTTTGGCTTTGTTTTTTTAGTTGTTTTTTTTTTACCAGATTTCGTTTTCATAAAAGAACACAAGTTCAAATCTCAGCCAGTGATTATCATTTATTTCTGATCCTTATTGTCTACTCACTGATGTAGGTTGTCAAGTTAGAATAAAGATTGAAAAGGCAACTAAAATTAAGATGAAAATAAATAATAGTCAAAAACTCAAAATTCAAAACGAAGGCTTAACAATATTTAACAACATTCGGTCTTGAAAAGTGCATATTTTCTTTTTTTCTTTTTATATCTATTGAGTATTGTTCTCAATATCTTTGCAATTACAGTGAATTGCTGTCCCAAACATGGATGAAGTCTGACAAAGAAATAAAAGCCCCACATGTGCACTTAGTCAGCAAACGATTCAATGAGGTACATGTTTTAAAGTTTTTTTGTTTTTTTGTTTTTCATATAGACTCCACTTTTAGAAGAAAAGGTCTCAAGAACTAAACAGCTTACTACAGTGGTTCCCAAACTTATTTTCTCTGGGCTGCATTTTTGAATAAAAATTTACTTGCACCTCACCAAATTTTATGTCATAAAAAGTACATTTAAAAATTTAAAGAAAGAGAGATGGTTAAAGGGAGATAACTGCAGTTTTGAAGTCAGAACATTATCATTGATAACTCTCTCCTCCAATTTGCAGAGCCCAGTTATTATATTCTTAATACTTGATATAATGCAAAAATATCATAATGATAAAATCAGTCAATAATTATTTATAACTATTTAGACTGGGACTCATGCATACAATTACAAATAGTCCATAATGATATTTTAAATTTTGAAACAATATTTATTTTTGGCATATGAATTTTTTGAAAATGTTTCTAAATCTTTGATTGTCTTTCAATCATTCTGCCTCACCTGCTATCCTCTTCTGCTGCACCAGTAAGGCATGCCACACCATCTGGGAACCACTGGCTTACTAAATCATTTGGCAAAACAATATAGTAAGCTGTTAACTTCTTGAAACCAGAATTTTTGCTGGTGTTCACTTCTTTATGTTACTACCATCTACAGATAAAGTAAATTCAAATGCTCTCAAAACTGAAGATTTCAATTTTTCGCTATGGAAAATCTTTTTTTTTTGTAGAAAATCATAAAAAACATTAACCATACATTTAATTTATACTTGGAATTTTTAACTCGTTATTATTCAGTTGTTTAGAGAACTTCATAACTGAGTAATAAGATTCTTGATGAAAAATATAAGTTTATTAAGTGATCAGTTATTAGTTGATCACTGTTGTTAGATATTGCAAATTGTGCATTTAAGACAAAAGCACAAATGAACTGTTCTTTAAACTTGAATAAGCTAAAACAATTCTTAAACATTTCATGGAATCAACAATTTTAATTTTTAGTTTAATATTTTGATAAAGTTTATAAACATGTTATTTTTTTATTCTTTCAACAGTTTTAGTCTTTGAAGAAGGCCAGCCAAATTGGTTAAAAGAAATTACATGTGTTTATAGTTCTAATAAATTAATTTTGTTGATTTTACTAGGTGAGTCGATTGGTTGTGTCCGAAATTGTTGGGCGGACAAATGTACAAGACCGGGTAGCCTGCATAGAGAAATGGGCAGCAATTGCAGACATATGCAGGTGTATGCACAACTACAATGGTGTGCTTCAAATTTGTGCAGCATTTGTTAATAGTTCTGTTTTCCGAATGAAAAAGATGTGGGAACGATTATCAAAACAGGTAGGAATAAAATTTTCTTGTTCATTCTTAAATATTTTTATATGGAATTATCCACCATTTTTTATCTGTTTCCCTATATAAAAACATATATGAAAAAATATCCCTATGCAAGAATATCTCATTCTTAATGGTTAAAGTTTTAATTTTCAAGATAATTGCCTGGATTTGCATGAAGAATGTTCCATTTTCTTCTTTAGAAAATCATCCCCATTCCCTTCATATTCCTATAGTAAGAAGTCAGTTCCATTTGAAAAACTTCTTCCCAAGAACTGCTACTTTGTGGAAGAGACTCTCAGCAAGATATTTTTCCAATCACTTCTTGCCTTTACTTACACTCATACAACACACTGTCACCTCTACCTTGAGTGGCTCTTGAGCCTTGTATTAATTGAATATTAGTATTTGAAAAATAATTATTTTCCAACCTACAACCCTTTTCCCATAGAAAAGACATTGTGAGCCTCTCGCTGATCTATCGCTATTTCCATGGCATGTGTTCTGATGAGCTACATTTCTTGGGGAACCCTGGGACCCTCCATAAGTGTGAAGCATTCCCATTCTCTTTGTATTCCTATAGTAAGCTCCATTCGAACAGCTTCTTCCCAAGAACTGCTGCTTTGTGGAACAGACTGCCAGAAGGATCAGTGTCAAATTTACCTATAAGCCTAGGGCCTAAAAATCTAGGGGTCCTCCAAGCCAAGGTGTATAATATTTTTGATACTGTCATAGACCTTTCTTACACATAAGGCATTGCAGATTCTAAATAACCCTTCAGTAATTTTAAACACCACTCATCATCCTCGGCTTTACTCAAATTGTTTAATTTAACACTCTTCCATTTCCCTCTACTCATGAGAATAGAGTATTAGGAGAGGCCTCAAGTGGAATAGCCTAGAGCCTCTTTTCATCTAAATCCGGCCTTGAACAGGATGTTTTTCCAATCACTATAATTTTGACCTCTGACTTTAGTCTAGGGTTAACCAATATATTTCCTGCATAACCCCATCAAAATCACTTCTTGCCTTTTCTTATGTTCATACGACCCCATACAGTAACCCCCTACGTTGAGTGATATGTTGGGCCTTACATTTAGTATAAAAAAAAATTATATGTATACACTATCATCATAAGTTGTTGAAGATATATGATAAATAATCTGTATAAGTCGCCAGGTATACAAGTCTTGATTTTGTCTTTTTAGAAAATCAGTGAATCATTTAAAACAAGGGAGGTAAACTGGTATTTAGCTTGTATATCTTGTTTGGAATTAGATGTAACTAGAAACATTGTTAAGAAAAAAATTGAATGTAAATATAGCAAAAAAAAAACAAATATGTTCAGTTGTATTATATAATATACTTACAATAATTTTATAATATATTTATGTTCAGTTGTATTTAATTACATCTTATAACTCATCAATATTTGTCTGTTTTTATCTCTTACTACAGACTCGACAAATGATTGACAAACTTCAGACATTGGTTTCCTCTGAAGGAAGATTCAAAAATATGCGAGATGCATTACACAGGTGAGTGAAATCAGATGATTTATAATGGACTATTTCTTACATGAATACATACATACATACATGATGACTGGTAACTTGATTTTACATGCATGCCTGTCTGCTAAGGTGGATAACCAATCCCTGTTACAGACACCTACTCAGGCAGATTTGTGTTTGTTCAACACCCACAGTGCCCAAGACCTGCAGAGCCGGACTCCTGCAGAGCCCACCTGTGGTTTAGATTGCAACTATGAAGATCGGACCATTGTTATAGTTTCTGGAAGAGAGTGCATATTCTGGCATGATCAACAGTTTGAACAACACCAGTATGACAATGAACAACACCAGTATCACGATGACTTGTGACTTCATGCTCACACAACCCTTGATGGCTTCCAGGCTGTTTTCTCTACCCCATTTCCCTCACAAAGCTTGTGCCACCCTGTGGCAAGGTTTTCAGGCACTTTCCAACCACACTTTCCAACTGCATTGCACACTAGGATCACTTCATCAGTGTAATCATTCTTCTGAAATAATTTTTTTTCTAATGATGACAGTTCATTGGAGCAACATGTCAAAGAACTTTTCCAAATTCTCACATATATATCTGTATATATGTATATTTAGACAGTATATCTTCATCGAATAAGATTGACACAATATGTTCATATTATTCAATGAAATCTACATCTATCTATCTATCTATCTATCTATCTATCTATCTATATATATATATATATATATATATATATTGGGGGAAAAGGTATGACAAAGTGGAAAACTTATCCTGATACATTTCGTCCTTTAGTACTAATTCATACTAAATTTGTTATGTTGGTGTGACTACATATACACATGAATGAGGGATGCAGGGAACTTAGATTTTTTTTTTCTAGCCAATATGTGTAGTGATACCAACATAACAAATTTAGTCTGATGAAGTCGCAAGGGATGAAACACATCACAAGTAAACTTTTTTCAACTTTGTCATGTATTTTTCTCCAATATTGTTTGTACTTCACAAATAAAGATTTGAGAGTATTTTTTCCATGTCTACTGCATGCTTTCAGATTGTTCATGAGGGCAGTATAAGAGAGACATGTTTTTCCATATCAATTGTTAATGACAGCTTGGCAGATGACTGAGAATCTGGACTTACAGTGCTGTCAATTTCTATCTGCTTTTTTTCTGAGATTTGGTTTGGCAGGAGATGTTTCCTGATAGATCCTGTCACACTGTAATCTATTGGTAAAAGACTAGTTCCCTAAATCAAATGGCTTTGTAAGATGATATTTGTCCATTCTGACCAGCCCATAACAGTTGAGTTTTTGTAGCATAGCTTCAACACTTGTGGGTATGTCTGAGTTTAAAACTTAGCTATAGTTGGCACTAGTATATGACCCTAGATTCAACACCATATAAAAGTGTGCACAGCATAATGGCTTTGTAGACTCCCATTTCCGTTTTATATAATTTTTGTTTTATACATATATGTTAGGCAAATTAATGACAAAATTTGCATCTTTATTAGAATTTAATTTGAGAACCATTACTACAATTTTTTACAAGTTCATCTTCTAGCTTCTTTTCTGATCTTTGTCCCAATTTTTTCCACTGCTTTCAAATCTGGCTCCCAAAGCCTTGCTCCTTATCAGAGATATTTTCTGACGAATGAGAGAGCTGGAAGATATAAAAAGGAATCTGACCATCCTTACCTTGACCATGGTGCCATAAAGTTGAGGGTAACACTCACAACTTGTCAGATCCTTGCTTCCAAAAAGCAGCTACCAAACCTTTTATTCTTATTAGAGATAAGAATATATTTTCTGACAAATTAGAGGGGTGGGAAAGTGTATAGCAATTTTGAAGGGAAAACTTCCTGATATTTCTGAACCTTTTAATCTTGATAAATATGGAGAATATGCGCCTCTTTGGCAGTGAGTACTTGACATCAGGTTGGTGATAGAACACCAATCATCTTTGGAACCTGTTTCAAGAAAGAGATCTACCTGCTGGGCTGTAAAGACAGAAAGTCAGCCCTCTACTAAAAACTAATTGAGATCTGCTTCCTTGCACCTAGAAGTTCCTGTCGTTGGCCTACAAACTCACTACAAAATTCAGATCTTCCGACAGTTTCTTCCTGAAGAAATCCATATGAGTGTTAACTTCTTAAGAACAATTTACTCTCTTAAAGAACTTTTAGGTGCTCAGAGAAATATTTTTAGCGAGTCTTTTTACACACATTTTTTCTTCCTTTAAGTTAAAGGAATTTTCTTCTCCCATTCTTTCTCTCATATTTTGTATATATCTCTTTACCTTTTTTTGTGTATGTAAATAAATATTTTCTTCTTCTATTGTTACACACTGAGTGGGAATTTGAGTCTTTGTTCTTTTGCCTAAAAGAGAGAATTGTCTAATCTTTCAAGCCATTGTTACTTTTATCAATTCTGTCACATTTAACCATAACACTTTCATGTGGGAAAGCTGGGACAAATTTCCTACATCTTATATTCCTTCTCTCCTTGATACACATATATAATTATGTATCACTTTAAATGTTATCTTACTGGATACACATATTGGTGTAGGCAATCTGTTTATTTTTTAAACAGTATATTTATTTATTTTAATCTACTGGCCTGAATGTTCGAGAAATCCAATTAAAGAAAAGTTTGCACTCTTTGGAAAGATTTGAACCTGTGTCCCTCAGGGCAGATGGAAGTACTGTTAAGCCTGGCATGCCTTAACCAACTTGGCCATGAAGAGCAGTCAGTCTGGTAAGGCCAAATTTAGTGTCTTCAAGCAAAATTTCTCTCATCATAGAATCTCTCAAAGTCTTTTTTTTTTATATATTTACAGTTTTGTATCCAAACATAAAGAATTTTAGAATGGATTTTTTTTATTATTCTGACAGACTTTTATCACTTTAAACATTATTTTAGGGGATACTCATATTTGAGTAGGCACTTCATTTTTTTTGTAATAGGATTTCTTAAGCTTTCAGTCTGGTAGTCAAAAATAAATAAATATACTGTTTAATAAATAAACTGAGCTCCTACTCAAAATAATGTTTAAAGTGATACAAATATATAATTATATCAACAAAAACATTAATATAGTCTCATGAAGAACTAAAGGATGTAACATATCACACAAAAATTTTTCCACTTTGTCATTAATATGCTTAACATTATTGTTATATAAAAATTTCTCTCTCTCTCTCTCTCTCTCTCTCTCTATATATATATATATATATATATATATATATATAATTTTTTTCTAACAATAAAAAATACTTCAAATATAGAGTTTTTCACTTCTCTAAATTTTAAAAGATCCTAGAAAAGAGTTCAAAGGTTTCATTTTGATTATATAGACAAGTATATTTTTATTATTCAGTCAAGCTAGCTCTTCTTCCACATCAAAGCAGGGATCCTTCAGGGAGACAAGTATACACAAACATGCATTTCTCTGTATTTAGTGAGCAAATGTTCTTTAAGATAAATATTATTGAAGACAGACATTTTGTGTCTATTAGTTTTACTGATCAGCTTTTCCAAATTACGAATAATCTTTCTCAGACCAGGAGGAAATTTTGTCAGAAATTGTCCATTTTAGAAGAAATATGGTTCAAGCTTTTGACTTTCTTAAGTCATCGTCAGGATAGGTAGAGACAAATGATGAGTGTTGTGACATAGGCAAAGAGTGTTGTGATATGACAAGGTGTGACATTTGTGATTTTAAAAAAAATTTATGTATTTGTGTCAGTTTAAAAAAAATAACATTCCAGATAAATATTATAAATGATTTAAAAAAATGATACATTGAAAAATATTTGTAAAATTGTTGTTTTTCATTGATTACATTATTAGGTATTCTCTTTCAGATGTGACCCTCCTTGTATTCCATACCTGGGAATGTACTTAACAGACTTATCTTTCATTGAGGAAGGTACACCAAATTTCACAGAAGAAAAACTTGTGAATTTTTCAAAGATGAGAATGGTGAATATGAATATTTACTTTTTTGCAAAATTGTCAATTTACAAATAATCATTTGGGGAAAGACAATTCACTTAAAATGTTGTGTATCTTTAGTAATAGTAATTTACCAATCATATTTTGTTAGCTATTATTATATTTTACACATGTGAGTCTCTAAATATATTTTTCCTATTATTATAGTGTATTATTATTATTATTATATAGTGTAGTAATTGACAGGATAAGGAACAAATAAGAAACATTGAAGTAATAAAAAGTATGTGTATCACATTTCTCGCTGGTCTATGAGGGATTTGGTTGATAATGTGTATGAATGTGTGTCCATCTAGAGGGCATTTTCATCTATGTCTGGTAGATGTCCATATGTTGGTTGGGAGATGTTTTGTGTGAGAGTGAAATAATTTAAGTTACACTGGTTGTGGTTGTTGGTAGACAGATCTTAGATTCTTTAAGTATGGATTTTATAAAAGTTGATGATTTAATAAAGTGTGTTTGACATGTGTTTATAAATGGCAAAACATTTATCAAGCGTCCCTTTAAGAGTTTCCTACATAATAAATTATGTTCTTTTCTAATTAGGGTAGTGTTTTTGAAATCAAAATTATGGCCTGTTTCAAAGTAATTCTAATAGGGTATCTTTTTATCACTTAACAACAATAGAAAAACGACCACCCCATTTTATGTCCAGTAGACTCTTATATTAATACTAGTTCAGCTATACCATAAAAATGAGAGCATAATATTTTGTTAAGTTCTTATTATCATAAGGAAATTTTAATAGGTGAGGCTAAATAAATTTCTCAGAATTATTCTAATATTTATTAATGCTTGAGGGATGAGTTTATTACTTAATAACAACAAAAAAACGACCCCCACTTTATGTCTAGCAGAATTGTATATTATTACTCATTTACCCCTGGCATCAAGGTATCACTCTAACTCTTCTCCCCCACCAGCAATGGGTTAAATAGTATGACTTGTGTCTGGAAATATACAGGAAAATCATTGTTATCTCAAAAATGTCACTCACAAAAAAAGAATTTTTCTGATCTAAAATGTAGTTTTTATTGATGTTGTTGTTAAAATAATTGATTAAATATTAGATAATAGAAAATAATGAATAATATGTAATAAACTGTGAAAATAAATATAATAGGAATATAAAGAAAGCTAAATTTAACTTTTAAATGGAAATGGAGTTTGCCTAATTAAAGAGTAGCCTCCCTTTATTTATTCATTTGCAAATAATTATAATAAAAATTCTATAAATAAGTTGTAACTTGACATTGAGCTTAACAGTCGCCTTTGAAAGTCTTTAAGTGCCTATTTATTTATTTATTAAACTGCGAATAATTCACAGCTGAGAATACCATGGACTGAACATGTGACCAGTGACAAAGTTTTAGAAAAAGTGGAAACAAAAAACACTTATACTTAACATCAGAAAGAGACAGTTGACATTACAAGTGCACATAATAAGGAAAGAGAGCTTAAACAATTTGACACTCACTGAAGGCAAGAGGGGCAGAAGAAAATAGTGCATAACCTACCTAACAAGCTTGTAAATGGTTAGCAGAACAGAGTATAGCAAAAAGACAAAAATTACTAAGAGCTACAGAAGACAAGAAATCGTGGAGAGCCATGATCGCCAATTTTGTGAAGGAACATGGCACATAGAAGAAGAATTTACAACAATTCACTGCAAGCATTTCAAACATTATAGAAATTATTTATTATAGTGGCGTATTGTGAATAATTTAATTTAAAAATTATCCAACTATAAATTTATTGAGTTTTATCATTGGAATAAATTTTCAGAGAAGGGCAATTTTTTACATGTGTTGTGTAGAGACTTGATTTGAGTAAAAAAAACCAAAAAACTATTGATGTCATTATTGTTGAGCTTTAGATCTTACCTTAGATCACTTTGAATCAGTTGTACTTTGTTATTTTATTCTGTATTCTTTCCTAGCAAAATTGCTGTTTTTATTATCTTGAGATATGAAGTTACAAATTAAATATTGTAATTTGCCTTTTTAAATTTAACAAAATAGCTAAACTATTTCAAAAAATATAGGCATGTCATTTTTGTCTATTATTGTATATCTCAAGGATGGCTAGAGTTAGGGTCACTAAATTTTCTCTGGCTACTAATGGAAGTCCAGACCATTTTATAGTATATTAGTTTTTGAAAATTTCTAAACTTTTAAAGTTTTAGCAAGGTTTTTGATTTATATTGTAAATATAGTGCTAAACTAGATTCTTACTTTGTCTTCATCAAGTTAGCTAAACTGAATCAAAATCTTTTTTTTTAACTGTACAAGACCTGTGCATTTTCATGTCTATTCTTGTGAAAGGTAGTAGAGTTGATTTTAGCAATGTATTTGATTTTTACTGTAAGTATATTGCTAAACTGGATCCTTACTTTGTGTCCATCAGGATAGAAAAAATAATCTGTATCTTTTCATGCAAGACAGAACATTGTCATGACCATTCGTGGGAAAAATAGTTTTTTTTTAACAAGGCATTTGATTTCCATTGTAAGTATAATGCTAAACTGAACCATTACTTTGTGTCCATATGATTAGCTGAACTGAATCATTATTCTTTTATTTAATTACTGTATATACTTGCATATCATGTAACATTTGAAGAATTAATTTTGAAGCTAATTTTAAGGGGGTTGCATTATACATGAGATATAAAATTAGCATATGTACTGCTGGCCCTGGCTACAATGTTGGCCAAACTATATATCCATTTACTATAGTCAAAAAGTACAGATGTATTTCAAATAAACATGATTTTGATAAAACTTATATTTTACTTTACTATGTCCCATAATAATGCATGTAATATTCACATAATAGTATTGTATTATAAAATATAAACCAAGAGAATATACATCTTTTCCATTGTTTACGTTTAGCTGTTTTGAGTTCAGTTGTTTATGGCTGTACACGTTTACGCAACAAGTATAGCATTACTTTTACATTTTTAACTTATTTACCTAGAAGATGGGATAAAGAGATAGAGGAAAAGAGGTTAGTCTATTGTAATTTGGTTGCTCAAAAAAAGGAACTCACATGATACACGAGATACATGATAAAATCATTTTTAATAAGTAAAACTTTTTGGGTTGCATTCATCATGAGATTGTGCAATACACAAGTATTTACAGTATATGGAATGGACATCTGAAAATTCCTCACCACAAAACTGTTATTTCATGATTTGATCTCTGTTTGAAGATAAGGTCTTGTTTAGATCTCTTGCAGGAATTAGCACAAAGTTCTGTCCATAAGATGAGGTCTTTGATAATATTTTTAATTCTGTAAGTATGAATAAATTATTTGTTAAATATTTATTTTTAATTTTTTCAGATTGCTCATGTCATTAGAGAAATCCAAGTATTCCAACAGACACCTTACAGAATTGAGCATCATGCCAGGGTGAGTAAGGTTTTGATCAAAAGGAGAATATTCAAAAACTGAGCTTCTTTCTTCAATGCACATATTATAAATATTATACACGGTGTGCTTGCTTTCTCTTGAAATGCTACCAATTATTTTTCATAAATGACCATCTGGCTTTCCTTATGATCTGCCATTGTTAAACATAATTTTATTTCTATGAATTTAGAGTGTTTTTTTAAATTATGTATATTTGAATGGCAAACATGAAAAATCCTGATTGCTGTTATAAAAATTGCATTTGTAAAGAACTTTGTTCATCTGTTCAGTTTTAAATTCATTGTGAATCAAAGATAATTTTAAATGTATTCAAATTTATTGAGATATTAAGAGTCATTTATAATTAAATAAACTGTACACAACAAAAATGTGAGATTTTTTGGTAAATTTTCTGACACAGAAAATGGGATGAAAAAGTCCTGATGATTCTAATAAATATCTTAAATATGGAAGGCCATCAAATCGATAACTTCATGAAATCCATGACTTAGCTAAATATGTAATGCATTTAAAATTTCTTAATCTTGTATATGATTTTCAATTGAGATTATTTTCAAATTGCATTGCGTTTATTTTACAAATATTCAATTTGTTTTTATTAATTCCATATACACTGCTTCTTTACTTTCCCATACTTTTCAATATTTGAACTTTGTACAATTGATTTATTTCTTGGCCTTTTTAATGATCTAATTTATTCAATTAATTTCTAATTTGCAGTCATTACTGTTATGGCTTTAGCAGCAAGACCATTTCTATATATCCTGATTTTTATTATATGTAGTATGGAGTGCTGAAAAATTGACTGCAAATCAGTCAAGAGCTTTTCAGCAAACCCTCACTCACACACACACACACACACACACACACACATATTAATAATAATAAATATGCATTTTTCTTCTCACTGGTAGCACAACTCTGAATTTCATGCACAATGCAATCATCAGGTGCTGATTGTGTTACTGGTGAGGAATGTATATTTATTATTAATATAAATTATAGCTCTGTTTTCATACATTGAGCACTATATTATTAGTACCAGCACTCAATGTGCAATATTTTATAGTCATATATATATATATATATATATATATATATATATATATATATATATATATATATATATCAGGCATGATGGATAAATTGTTGTCTAAATTACACAAAAATGAAAATAACACTGACATCTCATTTTAACAGCTATAGTTACCAAAATTACATAAAAATATCTCGAAATACTAAAGATTAAATTTATTCAATAAAATCATCATTAGGTCCAACCCTGGCCTCCAGATGACTTTAGAATCTCCTGCATCTATTCTGGACAGTTTTCTTGTTTAGGTTCGTGGATGCTGCCATAATACTTGCCTTCAGTACATCTTTGGTATTACAAGGAGTTTCATTGATCTCTTATTCAACTGCACCCCACACATAATAATCAAGGGAGTTGCAGTCTGGTGAGTTAGATGGCCAGATGTAAGGGGTGATATTGTTGCAGAAATTGTCTGACAGCCATGACTGGGTTCTACTTGTGTGCCATGGTGCAGAGTCCTGTTGCCAGACATAGGGTCTTCAAGAAGTCACCCTCCTGACCCAGGGCAGCACTATCTCCTCAAAGCACTTAATATAGGCTTCTGTGTTGAGTCTGAAGTCATCACCAACAAATTCGGGAGTTCTTTTCTTATCAGAACAATCAGAGTGAGTTTTCCAAGCTGCCATACCTTCATAATTATCATTAGACTCATCCAGTTCTTTCCGAATCCTATGCACTGTCCTCAGATTGACACTTAAACACTCAGAAATGTTTGAATTGGATCTTCCGGAGCAAATGCCAAACAGTAATGCATACCATTTCCAAAGTTCTGGCAGAGTGTGTCATGGTGTTTTTTTTTCTCACCAACAATGCCCAACTAACCCTACTATACTGTGTATGCAACAAAATTAAAAACAAAAAACGTGCATTCTTGAAATTAAAAATATAAAATGGCAACAATTTACTCTTCACACCCTGTATATATATATATATGTGTGTGTGTGTGTGTATATATATATATATATATATATATATATATATATATATATATATATATAAGACACTCTGTATTGATAAAAATATTATTACTTTGAAGAATGATGGATGGAAATTTAGAGTGAAATGTGTCACTTAGGAAATTTTCCACATAATCATTAACTTACCCATTATAGTTTGATTCATATATATATATATGTATGTGTATATATATATATATATATTATAATATTTTTTTTTCCAAAATATGATTCCTTCGCTACATAAGAGTTCTCATGTTTCAAAAACGAGAGCTGAAATCATCCAAATAATTTTTAAAATTAAGTTGAATTGAGGTGTTTAGTCCCGTTTCATCTTCAAGCGAAAATGAAAGGGGACTAAACACCTCAATTCAACTTAATTTTAATAATTATTTGGATGTTTTCAGCTCTCGTCTTTGAAACATGAGACCTCTTATGTAGCGAAGGAATCATATTTTTAAACAAAAAAATATTATAACATAAGCTCTACTTCTGTATGGAGCACTGTCTTCTTAAAAATAAAAACAAAAATACTAAGGAAGTCCAGATTATGCATCCAACGTGTTCTTTTCTATTTTCTGCATACCTACACACTTATACATATATATATATATATATATATATATATATATATATATATATATATCTATATAGTCTGTGCTGGTACAAAATTTCATTAGAGCTAAAAATGGAGATTTTAAAAGCATATATGATCTACAAAAATATATAAAACAAAATTGATAAGGGGAAAAAATTATTCACCGTAAAGTAGCAGCTTGAAAAATGTACCAACAAAAAAGAAATAACTAAAAAGGGATGACCATTTTTACAGCCTTTTCTTTATAAGGTCAAAGAATGGTTGCTAGGTCTTAATCTGATCTGTCTATGATTTATATTGATGAGTCTCAGGTAGAATTTGTTTTTGCATATTTTGTGGTTGTGCACATGTAGATATATATTTTGTTCTCAGTTAGCTCTGAAAAATAAGGAATGATAACTGGTTAGTTCTTTTTTGTTGTTATATTTTTCACTACACCACTTTATGGTGATTAATTTCTTCTCTTATCATTGATCTTCCTGCACTTGTATTTTATATATTTTTGTAACAAATTATATATACACTTGTAAAATATCCCTATATATATATATATATATATATATATATATATATATATATATATATATATATATATATATATATATATATATATATATATATATATATATATATATATAGATAGATAGATAGATAGATAGATAGATAGGTAGATGGCTAAGATAACTAGATTTTCCGGTTGCAGTCACCTGTTTAAACACATTTTGTGCTTTTTCAAAACCCAATGAGGCAACTAGTAATTTATCCTTTAACTATACAGAATGGAACTTCTTTAAAGTTTCTGGTTGTGAGTGTGATTAGTAGTTGAACAAGGGCCAGTATACTGAAACCCTTTATCACAATATCTTGTGACTTTTTGCTAGCACAACTATTAATGGTTTCCAAAGAGTTTTGTCAACCTGATTTCACTTACAAGGCTTGAGTAGTCATCCCATGGTATGGATTTCACACACTTCTCCATGTTGACGCACACTAGGATCATCTCACCTGGCTTATATTAACAAGAAGGTACCTTCTTGACAAAATGGCAATAGTGCAATTTGAAGTGTGATCTCATGATTGGAATGCTGATGTGCTAACCTCTCATTCCATTATGTCTGCAACATTAGCTGAATTTTTATCTGAAATGTTCATTATACAATATTGATCTATGTGATTGATATTCACTACTGAATTAAGTGCATTGACAAATGCAGTTATATTGAAAAAATAGAAATAATGTGCAAAATAAATGTTACATTAATGAATAGAGCAACAAATCTGTATTAGGCTGAAGACTTTTCCATCTACCTTCATATTTGTGTGCCTCTCTGTGCATATATATGTATATATATATATATATATATATATGTAACTTTTAAAATTGTTTTTTTTTTAAATGTTTGCTCAATTGTTAGATGATTATTATTATTATTATTATTATTATTATTATTATTATTTACTGCTTCCTTACTCTTTCATATTTGCTAATGTTTTAACCTTCAGGTAACTAATTACTTACTCGATCCAAACCGACTGATTCCGGATGAGGAGGCATATCGAGCATCTCTGGAGATAGAACCTAAACAGTCACGTCTTTCTGTACCGAACATTGACCCCTGAGAAGGCAAATAACACATTATGAGAGAGAGATAGACACATAAACCCAGGTGCATGCAGGCACACACACATACACACACACTCACACAGGCATGCATACACACAGACACACACATACACATACACACACATGCATGCACATACATATAATTAATAAAGGGGAAAACGGAGCAAACAAAAAAGCAAACTAAAACAAATGCTGGTGTGATAAAAGAAGGCTTCAGATGATTTATTGATGGTGGCAGCATGGTTTTATATGAAATAAGCTAAAAAGAGCAAAGAAAAAGAAGAAATTGTTGAAACAAAAGAGAAAAAGAAAGAGATGAAATAAGAGAGGTAAAAAGAAAGAAAAGGGAAAGGAGAGAAAAGAAAAATATGGCACTCTGTTAAAGTTAAAGCCACTACTGCACCTTGTTGCAAAAAATTCACATTAAATCACCTATATGTATGCATTTTCCCATATATATATATATATATATATATATATATATATATATATATATATATATTTTATGCATTTGTGCATGTATATATGTATACCTAAACATATACATACATATACATTTATATATATATATATATATATGTGTGTGTGTATATATATATATATACATATGGATAAAAGAAATATTCACATACACATATTCATTGTATATAAATATATAAAATGTATATGTGCTGATATACATATATATGCATGTGTTTGTACATGTGTGTGTAGGTGTGTATGTTCATCTGAACACTGGATGTGATATCCATTATAGAAATATACTTGCATATACATATATATCTGAATGTGGATGAATGCCAAAATATACATATATACATACATATATATATATATATATATATATATATATATATATATATATATATATATATATATATATAAAAATTAAAGGATATTATTTAATTATTAATTCAACATATTTTTATTAGTTTAAATGTTATTTTTAGGATATCCATATTTGATACTGTTTAAAATAAATGTAACCTGTACTGAAATATGGGTATTCACTAAAGTAATATATATATATATATATATATACACACATATACACATATATATATCTTCAACCATGTATAGTTGAATAATTTTGATATATTATGTCTATCTATTTTTGTTTTGATCCTTTGATATTGACTGATCTTTTTCTTATTATTGTAATTAAACTGATTTAGGAAGACACCATAACTGTTTTTATATTTTATTTGAAGAACAGTTATGGCATCTTCCTATATCTGTTTAATTACAACATTAGGAAAAAGATCCGTGAATATCAGGAGATCTGTGTAAAAATAAATAGACACAATATGTCTAAATTATTCAACCATACATGCTTGAATGAAGATAGGCTGCCTATATATATATATATATATATATATATATATATATATATATATATATGTGTGTGTGTGTGTGTGTGTGTGTGTGTGCATACATGAAAACAAATATGCAAAATAGTTAATATCTGCAAATTTAGGGAAACAAAATTATATCTGTGAGACATCTCATGAATTGTATATTGATAATGTTGATATATATGTATGTATGTATATATTTGTGTGTGTTTGTCTATGTGTCATTATAATCATATAAGTCCACACATACAAATACCCTCATACATATGCACACACACATGCATATATATTATTTAAAAAGTGCTCAATATCGGAGATAGAGTATTTGGTAGATATAGACAGTATAGACATACTAATCAATATGCCATGTCTCAAACTTTGAAATAACTTGTGTGAAGATTATGAAATTGACAGTCATAATGTAATATTGATTCCTTTGTCCACACTGTTCCTATCTATCTATCTATCTATCTATCTATATATATATATATATATATATATATATATATATATACACACACACACACACACACACACACACACATACATATATATATATATATATATATATATATATATGTATGCATGTATGTATACCAAAAGCAAATCCTTATTATCATCATCAGACATTTTAAATCCCAAAAGCAGAAGTCCTATCATAAAGATGTCTATTCTTAGCAGTACATGACCATGTTAGACCTATGAGGTGTATTAGCTCATCAGGCTACTTTGTCTTTGGTTGACCCTATGTTCTGGACATGTCTCTTGGTATCCATTCAATGGCTTGAATGGTCTACCTATTGTCTTGGCTAGATATCCTTTCCATCTGTGCCTGGCGTGACAGACGGATTGAATTATGTTGAAGAGACTTTTGTTTGATATCTTATCTAGCTGTTATACTTTCTTGGAGTGTGATGTCTAACATTATCCGTTCCATCTTCCTCTGGGCAAAGGCATGGCTGTTGTTAACTGTCCAAGTCTTGCAGCCGTACATCATAAATGGTGGGAAGGATTCAATGAATGCTTTCTTCTTTAGTTGCATTGCAACGAGGCTGCATAATATACAGCAAATGTGTAAGTACACAAAATAGCATTTTCCTTGAAACCAGGATACGAAGATATACAATGCATAAAATAATTGTAATATTATCAGATCATCTTTAATGAACCGGAAATAGAAAAGCCCAAACAGTGTTTGGCAGCCATTTTGGGGACAAAACAAGATGTTAGATCAACAAAATGATGTGGAAAAAACAGAAAAGAAAAAAGGTATTTAATCGAATCTAAATCTCATTAAAACTGGAGAAAGAAACAAGGAAAAAATTGCTCAATCATTTAGTGAATCAGCCCTTTACCCTCTCTCACATTTCTCTCCCTATATATATATATATATATATATATATATATATATATATATATATATGCTTTCTTACCTAAATGGCCACACACATACATACATATATGTGAGTGTGTATAGTCAGACTTACTGAGTGGTCTTGTGCTAAACTTGGCTCAGTTCAAGCAACTCAATCTGTACATGTAAATATTGGTACATTGAAAGCTATCCAAATATAATCATCTACGTATACATGTATATTTGTATATAACCCATATTTACAGAAATATATTAATATACACTTGCATAAGGGCATGCAGTTGGGTACACACACACGCACATAGTTCACGCATTCACACATATACACAAACACAATTACATCAACAGATGTATGAAAATACATTCATTTATATTTCATGAGTTTTTTTTTGCATATATATATATATGTGTGTGTGTGTGTGTGTGTGATATGCACTCATATAGATATGCATGTACTTTTATTGTTGGAAACATATATTCTTTAAGAATAAGTATACAAGCATGTTTGCATATGTGTATACTTATCGATGTATATATTAAATATATACAGGTAGGAACAATGATATAATAACAAAGAATATATATATATATATATATATATGAAAGGGTCATATTAAAAGTAAGTAGACAAAACTTGTCTAAATTATTTAATGAGATATGTCTTAATATATACATGCTGCCAAAATATACATAAAATATATATATATATATATATATATATATATATATATATATATATATATATGTATGTATGTATGTATGTATGTATGTATGTATGTATGCACACACACACACACACATATATATATATATATATATATATATATATATATATATGCATGTAAAGGAATAAATACAAAAACAAATATTAGACAAACAAAAAACATACAATTTTAAATTTTTGCTACACAATGCCTAAATTCCTACCAGAAAATTGCAGTAGTAACACAAAAATAAAAAAATGAAGAAAGGTATTTAAGAAAATCTCTGATGCAAAGCAAAAACAATTATCTAAAACAAGCGAAAAGCAACAAATAATGTAAAACAAAAAATCACAAAAAAGAAGAAAATGAAAAGAAAAACCTCGCCAAATATAAAATTTGCCTGAATCAAGGGAAGGAACTCCTCCCCATTATGGTGCTGTGTGCTATTCCTGAGAAAAGGACTTAACTGTTGCCAGTTATGTCAGAATGGAAGGTGTGTGTAGGGGGGGGTTAAATGTTTTGGGGTGGGTTGAAGGGGAGTTTGGGGTCAGAGTTGGGATCACAGGTCAGGGTTCAGGGGTTGGGTTTGCCCAATATTTGTTATTTTTATTTTTATGTCTTGTAAGTGGATTTTGGTTTTGATATGTGAGAGGTTTATGGACAGTCACATTTTGTCCAAGTGTTCTAGGGACCATTTGGAGCTACCATGACAGTTACCAAAAATTTCACAACAGATAACAAAATATGAGCAGAAGAAGAAGAAGAAAGAAGAATTAAAGAGAAAGAAAAAGGAGACAAAGAAAGAAAAAGACTGAAAGAAAAGAAAAATCAAAATAAATGCTGCAAATTGTAATTATGTAAAGGAAGAAAAAGGATGAAAGGAAGGAAGAAAACAAGTAAAGAAGGGAGAAAAGTAAGAATGAAGGAATGAAGAAAGATAGTGTGAAGGAAAGCAAAAGGAAAAGAAGAAAGAAATATTGGGCAATTTTCATTTTCCCCTCCCCTTTTCAAAAAAAAAAAAATGAAAAGAAAATGTCATTATCTCCAATTTTACATATGTAAAGAAGAATGTAAAAAAACATACCAAAACAAAATGAAAATAAGAAAAAAAAAAAGAAAAAAAATGAAAGAGAAAAAAATCCCTCAAACCATTTGTTTTTCAATATTTTTCATTTTTCTTTTTTTTTTCATGAGAATGCTTGGATATTGTTATATTATGAAAATACTTTATAAAAACATTCTATGGTTTTTGGAAATGTATTGCAAATCACTTTACTATGAAAAAGTATTGCATAATATTTATGTAAGAAACATTGTGAATGCGCCACTATAAAATCACCGGACAACAGTTTCACGATGAAATTGGTTAATGTTCAATATGGTTGTTTCATAAACAGGCCTTGCTTAGTCTTTCCCTCAGTAGATATAATTATTTACATTAATCAAAATTCAGTTCAACAGCAAAAATTAAGTTTCAATATTTTCATTAGGCAACGTGCAGAAAATTTTTAAAGGATAAAATGCAGTTTAAAAGTTGACAAGTTCAACTGATTGTTATAAGA